TTTGGAGTCATATTAACCTGCAGAGTAGAAGCAATTGAAGTTTTGAAATACTCTGGTATGACAGACAAAGTACCAACAGCAGTAAAAACTAAAACCCAGTGAAGAACTTGTCAGGCACTTGTCCGAATAGCAGAATTAGTGCAACAACTACCGCTCTCATTTGTTCCCACCGACAGCTTAGAAAGGTTAAAAGTATGTCACAGGACTGAACACTTTTGCCATAAACATACTATTGCTTATATCTGCACGTGGAAGGGAAAGCAGAGGTTATAAAGGGAAGTCATTCCTGACTAATACTATTTCTAAGGCAGTCACTCCCTCTGCACATCCCTCCCATCAGAATAATTTCCATATTTAGAATGCAGGGAATGAAAGGGAATGAAAAATCCATTCTCTACCATGTCATAGCAATTATTCCAAGTACCTTCAACAGTCCTTACATATGTTAACTTGAATTCTCCTATCTCTAAATCTCTAATAGGACCATCTTGTTCTAAATATGCAGGAACACAGGCACAGAGAGTATTAGATAATTTGCTGACAGTCACACAGCATGTTACAACCTGGGCTGGAATTCAATGCCAGGTTTGACTCCAAGGCCATGTTCTTTCCACCTCTATTTTTCCTCTCTAACAAAGGAGTCTCTGCTGTCTTTGACGTCTTCTTCAAAGGGGTCTTGGGTCTTATCCAAGTTGCCCTTGAATAAAAAGATTTCTCAAGAGATGTGTATTCCTCGAGTCATGTGCTGGAACTAGAAAGCATGTTCCAAGAGAAACAATGTTATATACACAAATTACACAGGCACACTCTGTTTACCTTCATTCACAAGTAATACCTTCTACTATGAGACACTGACTAATCATTTCCTATGGGAAAGTGGTTTGGAAATTCTCAATCATTAAAATAAGTGTACTTTGTTTTCAATACAGAGAAGCATGGAGAGGTAAGATCAGAGGACTTACCAGCCTTAACAGCTAAACAATTTACAAGAGAATACACTTATGTGAATACTGTTTAAGGACACTTCTCAGAACTGTCTCAATGGGTAATTACAGACTTCCAGTATTCAGTACTGCACTTCCAGCAAACATTAAGAGCATTAGACACTGAAATACAGAAGATTGATGACTTTTCACTGTCGTTTAAGTTAATTGCAGTTACAGCAAATGCTCTACACAGGTTAAATATCTAACCAAACGGAAGAGAGGAAAAAAGTCCAACAAATCAGTCAAATTTCAGCACCACTCCCAAGTCAAAGACAAAAGTAAGATCAATATTGCCAATCAATTTATTGCCCTGTTCAGTCCACACTTCTAAGTAGTTACTGCTACTGGATGCTCAGCTGAAGATGTAATGCTGGGAACTGAGGGGACTTCAGGCTCTTGGAGAACAGTTTGCTTTTTCAGAGAAATAAATGAGACAGTACCAATAGACCACACAAATAGGAGATGAAGCAAAGAGAGAGTTGTAGGAAAAGCTAAATGTTCTTGAAATAACTATTCAAAATGGGTACGTTTACCTTGCCTTCATCCATCGCCCTGGTAGGGGAAGAGCCTCTTGAGCTGTTGTCCATCATGGCAGCTGTACCAGATTCTGGATCTGTTAAAGACCAGATAACTGACATAGGCTTACTCTGACTTGTGTACTCTATGAGGAGGATGAAAACAATCCTCTCCCCACTTCCTGCATGGTTTTAGACTCTTTAAACACTCTTGCTCCCTTACCAGAAGGAGAGCCGTTCCCAGATGCCTCAGCGGACCATTGAGGATGAGACAGAGGCCAGTCCACAGACCCTTGTGAAAGAAATAACAGAGTACTTGTATGTATTTTTCAAAAGAAATAACAAATTGTAGACAGGTTAGGGTTCAAGTTTATCTGGAAAGCAACATTAAAAATGGGTCTCCTGATACTCATGAAGGCAAATCATTTATAACTTATTCACGGACTTAAAGAATTAAAATATAAATACTGGTCCAGGCGCCATTTTGCACGCCTGTAATCCCAGCACTTTGGGAGGTTGAGGAGGGTGTATGACGAGGTCAAGAGATTGAGACCATCCTGGTCAAAATGGTGAAACCCAATCTCTACTAAACATACAAAAAACTAACTGGGCATGGTGGCGCGTGCCTGTAATCCCAGCTACTCTGGAGTCTGAGGCAGGAGAATTGCCTGAACCCAGGAGGTGGAGTTTGCCTAAGCCGCGATTGCCCCATTGCACTCCAGCCTGAGTAACAAGAGCGAATCTCCGTCTCAAAGAGAAAAAAAAAAAGGAAATGCATTGCACTGAAAGAACAATAAACACTGCACATTAATGGTTTTCGTCTACACTTCAAGCTACAGACTTCTATATACAGTATTCTACATTGTGATTTTTGTTCAGTGTATATATAATCCGACTTCCATATCTTACTATTATAGACATGTTTAGGATTCAAAATAGACTCAACAACATTTCATACTACGTATAGTAATGAGAAGTCAAAACCGGTATGCCTCATAAACTATAACGTTGGTAAGGCAAATACAGTTGATTCTTGAACCATGCAGGGATTAGGTGTGCTGATCCCCTGTGGAGTCAAAAACCCACATGTAACTTTTGATTCCCCAAAGCCTACCTACTAATAATAAATTGCCTATTGACAAGAAGCCTTACCAATAACATAAACAGTTGATTAACACACATTCTGTATATATACATACATATATATATATATATATATATATATATATAGTATGCTGTATTCTTACATTGAAGAGTAAGCTAAAGAAAATGTTACTGAAATTTTAAGAGGAAATGCATGTACAATACTGTATTGTATTTGCCTGTAATGTAAGTGTACAGGATCTGTTTACCAGATGAATCATCTGACAGAAATGGCAGATAACTGCTGCTGCACACTCCAATCTATGGTATATATCAAAAAAATTCAACTTTTCTAGTAATATCATGACTTTGCTTCTTGAGAATACTTCCAGCATCACTAGTGACACTGCATTTGGGTCACATGGTGTTATTCAAGGTTTATGTTATTGCACTAAACATAAAGAATGAAGAAGAACCATGAGAGATTATGTTTACATGGAGATTAACATCACACGGTGTTTAAAGTGCATACTCGCCGCACTTGAGCTCACTGCCATAGCAACAGGAGGTGGCTATGAAATTATTGTAGTACTACATTGTGTACTACTTCTAACTTTATGCATTTATGATTTAATACTGTGTCTTTACATGTGTTTACTTTCTCCCAATTGTGAATGGTGTCATGTATACCTGTGTTTCTGTGTTCAAGTTTTGATAAATTTTTTGAAATAGATTTTTGTATATTTTATAATAGTATATGATAAAGTAGACTAGTATCTACATATATTTCATGCATTCATAACATACATAATTTTTAAAAATATTTCTAGGTTGTGTGGTTCATTTGCCAGTTCTTTCAATTTACTGCAAGTTCCAAAAAATTTCCCAAGGTATTTTTTGAAATAACTCTGCATATAAACGGACCTGCACAAATCAAACCTGTGTTGTTCAAGGGTCAGCTGTATTTGGAACAGGAATCCCACAGAAATTTAATGTAAAGATAAAGGCTTACAATTCAAATTAAAAAAATAAATAAATAAAAAACAATGAAAGGACCTCAAGGAAAATAATAAATGCTTTCTGTTCTACAACAAACCTTGCAGTTGAATACTTATCCACCAAGACAAATTAAGAAATTTTCTTTTCTATACTGGACAGACCCAAATTCTAAAGTGTTGCTTGCATTAGAATCCTCAAGTAAAAGGGAAAAAGCCACCTGAAACAGTATTGCAAGGAAACATGTGAATGCTCACCAAATTCACTTCTAGGCATATCTCTTAGACTGAGAGTAGCAGAGAGCGGTCTCACAGGTGGCTCCACTGTCAGTGGAGGGGAGCGTTCTCCACCACTCACAGGGGATGGGCCAAAGGAGCCATTCTGGCTCAGAGGACCTACAGATGACAGCGTCTTGTTACCATTTTATGACCGCCTTTTGTTCTTAAGTTCTTGCAATTATTTTTAGGGTATCATAACCATTATACACAGAAACAAAAGTCATTTATATACATTTTACACCCAAAATAGACTGTTGCCCTTTACAAGTTGCTCCCTTACCTCTCTGGGGAGGGTTTTGTGTATTTCGTCTTCCCGGCATTGATTTTACAATCACAGGTTCTTCCTGCAGGATTGTCACCTTTTCCATGAATTCTAATAGTCTTGAATATAGAGAAAGAGTATTTAAGAAAGACTTAAATATGAAACAGAAACCAATTCCTTAAGAGGTAACACTGAAAACATAGGCATCAAAATCACATACTTGTGTCTCAAGTTTGTAGCTTCCATTTTCTCTTCAGCTATAACTCTTTCTGCAGCACGAGCTTTGAGCTATTGAAGAAATATATTCAAATTAAGTTCTAGGAGACTATGCACCATATAAAGGAAAGAAAAAAGAAATCTTACCCAGTTTTCATGAGCTTTCTTCTCATGGGTAGCTATCTGAAAAAGATAATACATCACAAAATATGCTTACAGATTCATTATAATAACCTGTATTAATTATCAAAGAATTCTGGGCACTAAATGGGAGACTAGAATAATTACCTGGTTTTTAAATAATCGCTCTGTTTTCTGTAATTCATTCTCCATTTCTTCTATTCTCCGCCTAAGAATTACACTTGGCTTTATGAGTTAAAGCACAACCAAATAAAAACCCAAACAATATGACTATGTTAACACTTATCCTAACAACTGTACCCTAATAGAGCTACTTTAACTGTTCCTAAATATGTTTCTCAAATAACCCTGTTATCTTCCACCATAAACCTTTTTTTTTTCCTTTTTTCATCCTTTAACTATATCATAATAAAATTCCCAAAGTTAGGAATACTGGGTCTAACAAATGGCAAAATCACCTTAACAGCTTTTGGTACATCATACAACAAACTGCCCCCCTCCCCACCCCTACCCCCAGAACTGTTTGCATGAACCAAGTTCTCTTACAGTTTTGCCAACACTGGGTATTTGTTAATGATTTTCCATTTGTTAACTTAAAATTTAGTTTGTCTTTTGTGTGAATTTATGTATTCATGTCCTCTAACCATTTATTTATGCTTTTTTGCCAAAAAAAAAACCTAGTTTCATTAGCCAGTGACACCGTCTTTAGAGGGTGAACTTACTTGTAAGTTTTTACTTCCTCTGCAGCCGAACCTGCCTTTTCATCAGCAGCTGATAGCCTCTGCTCTCTTTGTTGTCGCTCATACTCTTCTTGACTTAATTTCCTAAGATAAAACTGGTGGTCAGTGAAAGTATTTCTTTTTTTCTTCTGGCATTCTGTAGGAATGCTCTATTAAAATGTCACTTCCTATCCTATTTTTAAAAATGCACAGACTATAAAAAGTCGTAGGAAGGAATTCAAACTGTCTTTTAGGATAAAAATCCAACTGTGGCCTGTTGATACATCACCTGCATTTTCTAATGTCTCATAACTCTTTCCTTACTAGTAAGTAAATGTAATAAAAAAAAAAAACACTATGTGCCCCATGGGAAAGACTGTTGTGTTGAAATTATGAATGCTTACTTTTCTTCAATGTAGAAAGCCAGGACTGATCAACCTAACACAGTTAAGCTTATTAGGATAAAACAGGAGATAATTACTTCTCTTATTTGTAACCATGGGAAAACCACTAATTAATTTTCTTATGGGCTGTTTCTCAATCCAAGACTGGTACCATGATAAAGAGAGCCAATGAAAGGGCTTTTTAGAACATGCCTTCTAACTGTACAGCTAGCCACAGAACATTTTCACACTTCAGATATGGAGCTCCCCTACCTATTTCAAAGGAATCATGATTAAGCAGAGAGACAAATCTGAGTATTGCCAATGTCTGTTGAACAGAAAAAGAATCCAAACTGTCCTGTAATCAGGGTGCTCTGTACTGAAAATTGGTTTTAACCTGATAAATTTCAAGCTCAAGATGTCAACATACTGTAACCAGATTGTAAAGGAAGCAACATGTAATTGTTTAAAAGTGCTACTTGTAGTTACCCTTGTACTTCTTTACTCATAATTCTGATACAAAAGATACTTGAATCTTTTCTATAAATTGGAAACAAAAATAGAGGAGCTATAGTAAAAAACGTTATTAACACCAAAGAGAAAAAATGTATGTATTCTTTTATAACTGCTCATTTAATATTTCAGCATATATTTTGTGAGTGGTTGTAACATACTAGTTACCTTATAAGAGGCTAAGATAAAGGTTTGGGTATGGTAAGTACCACCTCTGCACTAAAGGAGCTCACAGTTAAATGTATAAAAGGTTCATATAAGAATAGAACAATCCCTCTGTGACTCTGGCTTAGAAGGAAATGTGTAAAAAACAAGTCTTAAAGAAAGATTCAAGAGAATTTTTCTTCCAATAATGGATGAGTTAGTCTGTAAACACTGAAAATAAGAACATATGGACAAAAATATAAAGAATGTGCTTGAAGGCATCAGAAAGCTAATAAAGCAGTGAAGAAAATCCAGTAGGAAAAACCACAGTATTATAAGTAAGTCTGGCATTTTAAGCAATTGTCCCCCAGGTTCATTCACACATTAAAGATAAGCCAGACATATACAAAGGTTGAGAACAACTTTCAACAGATCCCTGGGTTCAGAGAAACAAGAGGTGAGTTTAGGGCTGACAATGAGAAGGCCCCTGAGAAAAAGCCCTAGGCTTTGGGTTGAGACCAGAAAAGAGCTGCACACTTGGAGTACTGAACAGGCAATATAATGTCCTTTAAACAGACTAAGCCATTTTTCAATGAACTTAATAGCTAACTGGAATAAAGTGATGACCGCATGCTAGAGGTAATCTCAAATCTTTTCTGTAGGATGATAACATCATCCAGGACCTCAAATTCCCCCTACAATTTTCATAAACAATGTTCGCCACTCCATCAGAACAAACCAGGCATTTCATAAGACAAGACAATGTGATTGCAGTCTAAAAGACAAGAGAAACAGGCTCATAAGGGTTCCACGTAATAGGATTACCACATAGATTTTGAAACAATTGTGCCTTACATATTGAAGGAAGTAAAAGTCATGATTATGGATTTCAGCAGAGGATCAGAAACTGTAAAGGTAAAAAATAGTAAGTGAAACCAAAAAGAACTCAATTAATAATTACAGCAGATTAGATAACTGAAGTGAGATTTTAGCACACTGGAAGATAGGTCAGAAGAAAACATCCAGAATGAAGCAAATTCAGGATGTAGGAGCACTGGGCAAGGGTAGAAGCACTGGGCAAGGAAGAGGGATGCTAGTATGTTTAACTGGATTCTCAGGACAAGAGAGAATGAAATGGAATTAATATGTGAAAAAAGAGGCCCCAAATTCAAGAGATATTTATAACCTCAAACAGTATAAATGCAAAAGAAAAAGCAGGAGGGTAGAGGTGGAGGGGTGATGACAAAACCCTACATGAGGCATCTCCCAATAAAATTGCTGAAGAACCAAAAAGAAAAATGACTAATGGCAGCTAGGGAAGGCATGGTGTATTTGAAAAAGAGAAAATAAGAATGATAATAGATTCCTCAGAGAAACTTTAAAACCAGAATATAATTGGTTACCTTTAAAGTGCTGGTATTAAACAACTATCAAAATTCCATAACCAGTAGAAAGATCCTTTTAATGTTGGGTGCAGTGGCTCACACCTGTAATCTCAGCACTTTGGGAGCCCAAGGCAGGTGGATCACCTCCTGAGGTCAGGAGTTCGAGACCAGTCTGACCAACATGGAGAAACCCCATCTCCACTAAAAAAAAAAAAAAAAGTTGTTTAATACCAGATTAGCTGGATTAGCTGAGCATGGTGGTGCACACCTGTAATCCCAGCTACTCAGGAGGCTGAGGCAGGAGAATCACTTGAACCTGGGAGGTGGAGGTTGCGATGAGCGGAGGTCGCACTGTTGCACTCCATCCTGGGCAACAAGAGCGAAACTCTGTCTCAAAAAAAAAGATCCTTTTAAAATAGAGTCAAAATAAAGACATTTTCATACAAAAATACACTCACTGAACCTGAATTCAGGTATATTCTTCAAATAGAATGACAGTGATCGCAAATGGAAGACTGAAGATGTAGGAGAATAAAGTATGATAGTAACTATAAATATGTATGTAAATTGAGTATCAGCAGGATAGCACTGTAAAACACAAAACATTTTGTGGTTTGAGCTATATAGAGCATTACAGTACATTACCACAATAACATTTAAGTCAGGGGGAAGTTAAAGCCCAGAAAGAGGTAACTCCTCAGCCTGGTGCCTGGTGTGGTGGTTCACGCCTATAGTCCCAGCACTTTGGGAAGCTGAGGTGGGCGGATCATGAGGTCAAGAGATTGAGGCCATCCTGGCCAATATGGTGAAACCCCATCTCTGAAACAAAATACATCTCTACTGAAAATACAAAAATTAGCCAGGCATGGTGATGGGCGCCTGTAGTCCCAGCTACTTGAGACAGGAGAATCGCTTGAACCCAGGAAGGAGAAATTGCAGTGAGCCGAGATTGTGCCACTGCACTCCAGCCTGCCGACAGAGAGAGACTCTGTTTCAAAAAAAAAAAAAAGGTAACTCCTCTATGAAGAAAGAGGCAACTCCCTTATGTCAGGCTTTGTAATAAGTCCAAGATACCTACTGTGGCCTTTAAGGTAATTACAACAAGACAAGTAGAACAGCTTGTAACCACCAAGCTTAAATAGAGAAGAACAGAAGAATTTAAAATACTCTAACAATTCAAAAAAAGGAAAAAGGAACATAGAACAGGCCATCAAATAAAGAACAGATACCAATATGTAGATTTAAACTCAAATATATTTTAGGAATTACATTTAAGAAGCAAATGAGTGCTCAGTCTGTGTAGCTACCTGTTTATTTATGCTACTGACTCCAGAAAAGATTTTTAGGAGCATGAACATGTGAGTAGGTAGGTGACTGCCAGGCAGAAACAATAAAGGACATTTTTACTGCAGAAAAAACAGCATACATAAAGACAAAGAAGTTTGGAGTGGCATGGAGAACGGTTGAGTGTCTACAGTTCAAGCAGCAACAGAAGAAACCACAGGAAGTGCACCTGGAGAGGCAGCTCAGGGCTAGCTGAGGGGAAAGTGGCCTCTGTACTTGTTAAGGAGTATGGAATTGACCCTCAAGGGAATGGAGCATACTTGATAGATTTCAAGCACATAATGACATGGACAGACTTGTATTTTAGAAAGTTCACTCTAGCAGCTATAGAGACAATCAGAATTTGGAAGCAGATGTATAAGAAAGACTGAAGATAGATAGGTGATTAGCTAGGGGACTGGCATAAAAGATGACAAGAGCCTGAACACACACAGTGACTTTAGGGGTGGACAGCAGAGTACAAGCCACACATGGAGATGGAATGAATGTTGTGGCACATAAATGGGTTAACTGGATCATGAAGAAAAACAGTTGCCATTTAAGTAATTCACATTACTACTGGAGGTAGAGACGTGCTCTTTTTTTTTAAAAGTAATGAAATGAGGAATGTCTCTCTGAAGCAGGACAGGCATTTAGAGTTGGCCTGAGCAAAATCTGGAAAATCTAAACGGCGGCTGGGTGAGCAAAGAATTAGAGAAAAAGTTAATGGTATAGTTTTAATGTTTAATGGCATATGGCAGTAGCAGACTAAGCATTTTAAAAGGTTAAATTTGCTTTGCAAGCGAGGTCTTCTCACACACTGCCATATACACCATAGAGTAAAA